AACAGACCCGAAAGTTTAAAAAAAAATAAATTGATCTAAAAAATATTATTTTTATTTTTATTTTTATATTATTTTATATTTAAAATAATGTAAATATTATCATTAAAATAATAATAATAAAAATTTCAGATAACCCGAAACACAAAACTCAAAACTTAACCTGATTTTTATATTTCAGATTATCAGGTCAACCCAAAACACGACACGAATAAAATTTCAGGTCAAACGAGTTCGATTTTTCAGGTCGGGTTTACTTTATTTTATTTTTAAATATATTATTACAATTTAAGTTTAGCTGGAGACCTTTTTTTTAGTCGTCGAGCTACGCTGACTATAAATATATATTCTTTTATATTTTCATTTATGTTTTTTTATGTATATAAACAATTTAATACTATATTTTTTGTATTTTTATTTAAATTTATTTTCAATTATCTTTATTAGTTTTTTTTATCCTTAATTATTTTTTATACTTTTATTTATGTTTGCTACTATGTATAAATAATTTAATATAATATTTTTATATTTTGCAGGTAATTCTTTTATTGGTAAATTAATTTTATTATAGTTAATTTTAAAACTATTCAAATATATATTTTATTATTCTTATATTAGTTTTTTCTCTCTTTAATTTTAGGATATTATCGCTTTTAACAAAATATTTAATCACAATAAATATTAAAAAAATGTATATGATTTTTTAATTTGTATAAATAAGTTAATACTCCCTCTGTCCCAAACAATATGCAACATTTGCTTTTGGCACGAATTTTTAGGTGAGTAGTATTAAGTATGATAACTTAGAAATTAGATTATGTGATAGAGAAAAATATATATTTTATCTTTTTATTTGGATAATGTGATAGGATAAAGTGTGAGATAGAGATTAAGTATAATTAATTATTCCATATTTTGGAAATATTGCAGGGTGTTTGGGACGGAGGGAGTATTATATAATTGAATATTCAATTCTTTTTTTCTATTATTATTATAGTAGCTTTTTTTCACATCAAATTTGTATTAATAATATATATATTATGTATTTGAGATCAGTCCTTAATTCCTTCATTTTGATATTTTTGAGATTTTTCTAATTTTTTATTTCTTTTTGTTTTACAATTTTTTATCATGATAATAGGGTATTTAAAATCTATATAATATTTACAGTTTTTTTTATAGTGTTAGTAGATATATATATATACACTTTTTAAATTTTATAAAGTTTATTTTTAATTTTTTCTTTTTTGAAACACATATTTTCATTTCTTTTACGTATTTCTCAACAAATTTTACTTGTATATTTATTTTGATTTAAAAAAAAGATGAAGATATAGAAGAATTGAAGGTTCACATTGTTGATTTTTTTTTCTAAGTTAAAAAAAAATCATTAATTTTATAGATTATATTTTATAATTATTTCATTTGATCTGTATTGATTTTAGTGTCAATTCCGAAAGCATTCAAATCTCATATTGTATTTATATTTTATAAATAATTTAATATGATATTTATTTATTTATATTTTTCAAGATGTTATTTATTTTACAGTTATTTTTTTTCTCGGTAAACTTAATATATTTTGTAATTGATAATTTCTAGATTATTTAAATCTTATTTTCTATTCATATATTAGTTTTTCTTTTTCATGAATTTTTTTATCTTATCATGTTTCAAAAGATATTGAATTCAATAAGTATTAAAATATACTCCCTCCATCCCAACAAAGATGCAACATTATTTTTATTTATAAGTTAATGTCTAATTTTAAATGATTGAGTGTTTTTTTTTAATATAATATTTTTATTTATAAGTTAATGTCTAATTTTATTTTAAAAAATAAATTTGAATAATGATAGTTGATATTGCAGTGACTATAAATACTAATTATTGAATTACATTATTTTTTGCTTATTTATTATATTGGTAATAAAAAATTAAGATAAATGATTATATATTAATTTTTTTAAAAAAAAATAAAAATTAGTTTTTAAAACAAATTATCTATTTTACTTTAGTAGTTGTTCTAATTTGTATAAATAATTTAATTATGTCATATATTTTTTATATAATAATTATACTAAAAATTGTTACATAATTATTGTACAATATATACTAGCTTTATAATTAATTTTTCAATTTATAATTTTAATTTTTTTATTTTTTATATGAATGTTAAGTTTTTTCTTATTATTGGACGAATTGACCATATTGATGTTCAAAATATCTGAAGTGAAACTAATTTTACAAAGATTGTATGTTTATATAACTATAAATACATCGTAATTTTTTAGTTATATTTTATATACAATCTTTAGTGTAGATATAAATCTAAGTAGACAATAAAAGACGATACCGTAAGTATGAATTTAAAATTGTCACACAAACATCAATTTATGTTTCAATGTCAACTATTCTATTTAAAAAATTTACAAAATAAGACATATTTTACACCTATAAATATACATATATATTATTTCATTGTTAATTATTTTAGCATACTAATATATTTTTTAAATATATAACAGGAAATAATATATAATTAGTACGAGAGTTCATTAACACTTTTATAGATTGTGTTTATATATGTATACTACTAATTATATCTTCATTGATACAATAAGAAGAATTCGTCACATGGTAAATTTAGTATGAGTTGTCAAAGTCTTAAAAATATTTGTATCATTCTATAAAATATTTGCCAATATAATTAATTATTTGTTTAATACTCCCTCCACCTCATAACTATATATCTGTTTGCTTTTTGCATGAAGTTTTAGAAATATTAGTATTATATTGGAATATAGTATGAATAAAGTAAAAATGACTAAAATAACCTTATTAGTATTGTGTAATATAAAGGTAATGAATTTGTGTAATATATTGTAAGTTGTAAGGGTATTTGTAATGTTAGGTAGATAGTACAATTACTAAAAACACACATAGATATTTTATTATGGGACGGACTAAAATAAAAAAAATAAATATTTTATTATAGGACGGAGAGAGTATTATTTTAACAATTTATATAAACCGTGCATCGCACGGGTCCACACGCTAGTTATTATTACGATTTAAAAGGTTGTATATTAAAAATTGGTGGTATAAATTGTAATTAATATTTTAAAGTAAACGATAAGATCTAAAAGACTCGTTTACTTTGAATTACTCACGAGAGCCTCGTTAAAGTATGCATTTGTGATTGTGAATGAACTCTCTCGCAAAAGCTTGCTGTTCACAACATATATTTCTTTATTTTCTAATTGAGTAAAGACTACTTGCTCTGTCTCGTGTAACATGGGTGTATTATTTTAGACACGAGAATTTAGGTAAAATATAATTAGTAAGTAATTAAGAAATATATTAGTAAAAATAATTATTATTTAATAAAAATAATTATAGATTAAGATTAAGATAACTAAATAGTTTAATTAAGATTAAAAAAAATTTAAATTTTAAATTTTAAAATATGATTAAAGTGTATAATTAATTTTCCAAAAAAGAAAATAATAAATTACATGGGACGGACGAAAATAGAAAATAGAGATAAATTATGTGGGACGGACGGAGTACACGATAAGGGTTTGCTTAATTTTTAATTTAATTTCGTTGTTTGAATTTTGATGTTTACTAGGTGAAGATAATTGTAGGAGTTTGACTATAAAACCAACATTAAATGCGGATAATATATTATAAATCCATTTGGAACAATGCATACACATTTCGAAACTTGGGGTTTTTTTATTTAATGCTTGTGTGTTTCTACATAGATTTTCGGTTTATAAAATTTGAAATTGAAATCGAATCAAAGTTTTTCAAAACTAAATTAATCGAATTAAATTAATTCGGTTCGGTTCAGTTTAAAACTGAAGAAATCGAACTTTTATTTATTAATATATATTTTTCATATACAATCAAATATAAATACTCAAAATTATAATATATTATTTATTTATATATAATATATTATTATTTTTAAAAATTAGGTTTTTTCGGTTAACCAAAATTAAAAATTAAAAACCATAACCAAACCGAAACCGAAATTTATAAATTCGGTTTTGGACCGAACTGAATCAATTAACCGAACAATCCAGACCAAACAGTCCGAACCAAAAAAATTTCGGTTTTTTTTCCATTTGAACCGACTAATGCTCACCCCTATTTATTTTGGAAAATGATTATACACTTTAATTTCATTTTAAATTTTTTAATTTAATTTTTTTAATTAAACTAATTAGTTATATTGATCTTAATTTATAATTATTTATATTATAGGATAATTATTTTCACTTGATAATTATACTTATCATAAATTGTCGCCCCAGAGATCCATGTGGGATGGAGGGAATTTTATTTAGTCTTACTTTTCCTTAAAAATAGATTTATTTTTTAAAAAAACTAAATTTTTAAAAAAAATTATTTCAAACTAAAATAAAAGAAACCCAATTGTTTGAACGTTGAATTAAAATGATTATTTTGATTTAATATAAATAAATAGATTAAATTGCATAAAATTCAAATGTGATTTCACAAAATCGCGTCAAATTCTCGTACTTCTAAAACTGCGTCAAACTCTAAGGTGGTTTCAACTCTGCTTCTAACCCCTTCCACTGTTCTTATTTAACGATATTTGCCCTAAATGAACTCAAACCGCAAATAAGAATATCAATTTCTAAATCCTTAAAATTACAAATACATTTATTTTTTTATATTTAGTCTAAAAAAAAATAGTAAAAATAAATTCTTAATACCTCAGAAAAATAATTATTTTTAGTATATTTACTATTTGTTAGGCTAAATATAAATTTAGAAATTGAGATTCTAAAAAAAATACAGTTAAATAAGAACAGTAGATGAGGAAATTTTGTGCAATTTTACGGAACACATAGATTTCGTGCAATTTAGCCAAATAAATATTTAATCCAGTGGCTAACCATAACCTCTGTGTTTAGTTCTGTGGAATTGTTTGAAAATCTTGGTACGACTTTAACAAAAAGCATGACTTTCTACATACTGATTGTCTTTATTTCTTTCATTTATTTTATAAAAGTACATACAATATACTTTTAAAAAAATAATCCTATTGTTATCTAATAAGTTCAAATGGACTCAAACTCCTACCTTATTTATTGAAGCAAGTGCAGCATCAAGACAAGAACAAAAAGATAGTATTATATATGTAGGTTATCTTCTCCACTCACATGTTTTCAATCTTGGCTCGATGATGCAGAGTGTCTCGATCCAATCCGTTAAGGGCATCGATCAATTGCAAGCGCAGCGAAGCTGGGCCGCCGGCTTTCTCCAACCCAATCTCTCCACACATGCCGAATACTGATAATGCCGTGGCTGTGGCTTCAAGTGGCTGCTGCGGGTTGACAGCTACAAATGCAGCGATCAGGGCAGTAACCGAGCAGCCGGCTGCAGTGATCTTTTGCAGCATAGGCACCCCATTGCGGACGCCCACCACTCGCTCACCGTCTGTTACTATGTCAACTGCACCAGATACTGCAATTATGCTTCCACTTATCTGAGCTAGAGACTTTGCCGCCTCAACAGCTTCTGTTGATTCGTGCAGGCTGTCAACGCCCTGACGATGAAAAAGGAAGTAAGCAAAATAGTGAGTCTGTGTAAATCAAAAAAATCTGAACAACCCTTTTGGCTACATTTATCATTCCAAAACTAACGAGGGTGTCAACTTTGAATTATTAAGGCTCGTTATTACTACTAGGACCACTGAGTCACGCGCACACACACACACATATATATATATATATTTGGGTGTAACACGATGACTTTCTAGGAGATCATTCATCTAGTACTACTCTTGTCCAATCACGTTTAACTTTGGAGTTCTTACGAGGCAGCCATGGATTGTACAAGTTACATGTATACATATTCTAATTGGAAACAGAGAAATCTCCTGGATACTTGCTTTGCATAATTCAGTTATGATCCAATCGTACTATCGACATTTCTGAAATACATAGAGAAACATCCATCCTTGGACTGCCTACAGCTCTAAATTGAAGCACCCTCAGGTTCACTATCATCCAAGTCCATTCGAAGGAGAAATGTAAGGAATTAAGGATAGAACCAGCAGAAATACACAGAAATAATAATACTAAATCTCATAAAAAGCTGTTTGCGCTACATATAAACAAGATATATAGACAAGATTGGCAGATGAGATGCATAGATCAACAATCATAGAATGCATAGGAAAGAGGGTTCCATTTATTTGGAAATCTTGGTACTATTTCATCACATGTCAAATACATATTCTCTTACAAAGACATAACCTCAAATACTAACATTTTACTATTTCTAAAAACTTCAAAATCTTCTATCTAAACAGTTAATTCATTCAAGCATTTGACAGGAAAATCCCACAAAATATTACGCATCAATCATAAGAAATCTTTAACTAAAGTATTTAATTAAGAGCATACTTATTGATTGGAAGCTTTGACAACCACAAGCAAGAAGTAACGTTCATCAAATGTCTGCTAATCTTGCTTCAATCATATTTTTTGCACTTCAACACAAAAATCCACTCAATGCAGGTAGGAATTGCCATAACTCTCATACACATCTTCCTCCTTCAACCACAAAAAACATACAGTGATGATCACTTCTGTTCTACAATCAACAGTTGTTTGTTAAGGAATCTAACAGCAAAGAATTAAACCCTACAGCACCAAAATCAACAATTTGGAAATTACTTTAAAAACATGCCACAAATTAGATAAATAAATAAATAAATCACGGTATAAGTACACATTATGATGCAGAGCAGATACCTTGGAAGTTCCATTGAGGGAGCCTCTGAAAAGGGCTAATATCTCAGAGCCATTGCCCCTGACCACAGTAGGCTTTAATTTCAGCAACTCCAAACATGCCTTTAACCGGTAACCGGATGCGCCGGAGGCCACCGGGTCGAGCACCCAAGGCTTATTACGCTCGTTCGCCACCTGAGCGGCCGCCTTCATTGCCGGTAGCCAGGCCGGGGTGAGCGTCCCCACGTTTATGTAGAGCCCATGGATTTGGGGAGTGAAATCGGGGATTTCTTCGGCGGCGTGTATCATTGCCGGCGATGCGCCGGCGGATAGGAGAACATTAGCGACGAGATCCATGGAGACGAAGTTTGTGATGCACTGGATTAGGGGCGTGGCCTGGCGCACCGACTCTAGGTGAGTCCATGCTTGCCGAGCCCACGACTCGGCGGCGTCTGGTATTGGTGGTATGCCTTTCGACTTCTGTCCGGAGGTTTCGTCCGCCATAGCTGGTTGGAGGTCGGCAGCGGCGGCGGCGAATTGGATAAACTGAAGAAGCGCAGGCACAATCCCCAGAAAGAAAGGAGTCGAATGGGAAGACTGACAAGAAAGCAACTCGAGTAGGGGTGGCCAAGTGGAAATTGTGACCGCCCCGGGTCATGAGTTCAAAAGTTTTGCCTGATTCACATTCATTTTTAGTTGGCAATTTAGGTATGTTTTTTTTACATGGGTTTTAATAAAATTTTGATTTGAATTTGATATTTAAATAATTATCAGATATTTTGTACCAGAAAAAAAAAAGAGAAAATTTTAAAAAATACAAAATAGACAATTTAGTTAACTTATACTTGTTCTGTCACATATTTATATATCCATTTGCTTATTCGACGAAATTTTAGAAATATTAGTATTATATTGGGATAAAGTAGAAATAAAGATAAAAAAGACTAAATTAACCCTAAGTATTGTATGATATAAAAGTAACTATAATATATTGTAAATTGGAAGGGTATTTGTAATGTTAGGTAGATAGTATAATTACTTAAAAAAGAAAATTGATATTTTATTATGTGACGGACTTAAATGAAAAAATGAATAGATTGTTAAAAAAGTGAGAAAGTATTTAAAGTATAGTGTGGAGTTCTGCTTGCTGCTTGCTACAATAAAGATCAAAGCTAAAAGTGATAAAAAAGTAAAAGCTACTATTGCAAAGAAATTTTGGGACATGTTAAAAAGTTTGTATATTTCAAAAACAGAGAACAATAAGTTATTTTTACTAAAATAGACTATGTCTTAATTAGAACGAGAGGAAATTCGCATCAGATCAAGTTCTTTTTTATATTTTATTGTCCGCGAAATACAAATAAAGAAGCCTTAAATATATTTATTACTATAATTTCATTTTTAAATATGAAATAAATATAAATAATTAAAAAATAATAATTTCTTTAAATAATCTTTTTCGAGATATTGATTATTTCAAATAATTTCTTAATAATTTTAAAAATAGAAAAAGAAAAATTTCTGCCAAAAGGATTGGCACAACTAATAAAATATAATAATTAATTGAAATATTTGAATAATAATCTACCATATTAATATATTCAAAAATCTCAATTAGTGATTTTAAATTATCTTATAATAATATTTGCAAAACTTTTAACTGAGAAATCATTTTTCTAAATCAATATTAAATAATACTTACGTCCAACTTTAAGAGTTTCATTTATTTTATTTTTTTTCATGTTGATAATTGAATATTAATTATTATATCAAAACATAGTACAAATTAATAAAAAAATTGTAAAAATACTTCAATTAGTGTCTAAAGATATTTATACAAAAAAAAAATTATACAAATATAAAGATATTTGTAATGTTAATTATAAAGACGCAAAACGTAAATGTAACCCAGAGGCGAACGAAAAAATATATTTTTATGAAAAAAGAAAAAGATGAAAAAAATAATACAAAATTCTATTAATTCTCTATCATCTAAATATATTAATTTTTATGAATAAACAAAAAATCAAATATATTGTTAAACATTTTTAATCGCATAAATCTATCATTTAATTAAGTTATTGTCATATTTAAAACCATTAAAAGTAATTAACTCTAAAATATTTTTCTTCCAATTTTACTTTTTATTTTGGGCCATTATCATCAAAGTTTCTTTTTCTAAACAATTTACATTTAGTTGAAAAATATACATTCAATATTCATATTCATAATAAAAAATAATTTCATTTGTAATTTTCATAGCACTAACAAATTCTTCATTTCTTTACTTTTTTAAAAAAATAAAATAAAATATCTTCTAATTATTTGATAGTTGTATTAATGCACACAAATTCATATTGTAATCTTTTATTTACACTATTAATTACAAATAAAATATCATATCAAATAAAAATTAATATGATTCAATCAAACTAATCAAACTTTTGGTTTCACTTTTTAATTTATTATCATCATAAAAATTATATAATTCTAACAAAGCTAATCTAATTCAAGAAGCTTGAAGATTTTAACAATTTTAACTCGACTTTTTCAACTAGTATTTTAAAAATTTTAAAATTTAATTTGAAATATATCAAGCAAATTTTTTTATTTTATTTTATTTTTCGTAGAACTTTTTGTATAACCTAAAAAATGATCGTTTTTACACAAGAATATGACATATCACAAAGTGTGAGATGCTATGACAATCACAAATCATATATAATGCTCCAGAATCAATATCGAACAATCTTTTTTGAATGTCGCTGTGTCGGAATATTTTATCTTATCTCTCAAGAGAAAATAGATATCTCCATAAAAGATTTTCAATTTTTTATGTTTACATTTCATATTAGAACTATTGTATAACTTTGATCTCTTATATTATTAACATTAAGACCAAGAACTTTGGGTGCATATACTAATTCACTTGCGTCATTAACTTTTACGAATCTTAAAAAATACTTTTCTATGTTTATTTTGTTAGTTGACATATTTACACATAGCACAATCAATATTTCTTGATGAGTAACATTTGGAATACAATAAAAATATTATAGAAAAATATTTAAATTTTTAAATAATTTCTATAATTGAATATCTAACACTATTAGCCAATGAATAAATCAACTTATTTTGAATTTTATTCTGAGATAATGATAATAAATTTCATGATTTTGAATACGTCTAATATGATTTTACATTATTAAATCAAATTATTCAATAGTTTTAATGATTCTCAAAAAGTATATCACTACGTTGATAAATTTTTTTTCATTTCATCCAACGTTTTTTTTCCTTTATAATTTCTTGTGGTATATTTTGCTCAATTGTTTGGTTGTTGTTTAATACTCCCTCCGTCTGCCTCTATGAGTCACATTTATTATTTGTGTCATTGTACTTAACATTAAAAATATTCTTATATTTGTATAATTTTATATACAAATGTTCTTCTATTAGTATTATAAGACACTGATGAAAGTATTTTTGCAATTTTTTTCTTAATTTGTACTAAATTTTGATATAATAATTAATATTCAAATATCAACGCGCAAAAAGTAAATGAGACCTTTAGAGCCGGACGGAGGTAGTATAACTTTTAATTCATTCGAAACATTCATGTATGTTATATGTTCAACATTATTATCATGTTGTTTAAGTCTTTCTCCTAAATATTTCAATCATTAAATTTACGGACAATTGGGCAAAAATCCCTCTGTCCATTTATCATTTGGGATTCAGTCCCTAATGATAAAAAATTGTTCTGCACTCCCCCCTTTTTCCTTTTTCCTTCTTCTTCCTCCCTAATCGTATTTCTCTTCATTCTGTTTCTCTTCGCGCAAAAAATTCTTGTCAAGCCGTTGTCCTCTTCCGTGAGCTCGAAAGCCACATCCCGCACAGGTAAGGTTCTTAATTGTTCGCCCGATTTTACATCGCCGCTTCTTGTCTGGTTCGATTGAAAAATTTCCTAGGGCACTCTCCGAATCCTGTTCCGGTTCCCTGTCGTCGGCGGTCGGTTGATTCGGTCGAAGAACTACCGAAGGCTGTCACCGGTTCCGTGGCCCGTATTTCTTGGTCTCCGGTGAAATTAGATGTACCAAGTGTGTTTTTGTGTCGGTTGATTCGGTCAAAGAACTACCGAAGGCTGTCACCGGTTTCCTGGCCCGTCTTTCTTGTTCTCCGGCGAAATTAGATGTACCAGGTGTGTTTTTGTATCGATATCTTAGTTGAAAAATTATTATCTGGAAGAAAATGTTTGGGTATTATTTAGGGTGATTTTGATAATAAATTTTGTTGCTATTTAGGGTTTAAGGGTAATATTTATTTTGTGAAATGGGTAATGTGTTGCTATTGAGGATCAAGACATTTCTAGAATTCCGTAAGAACATATGATTTTAGTGTATTTTGTGTAAGATTATCTAATCGCCCATACGACCTAATATAGTTCATACATTCATCGGTTGGATCGCTAGGTTCCGATGGACATGGAGCAAAGTAGTCTGAAATTATTAATTATATGTTCCTACGAGGGTGAGCATCATGTAATTCGTTTAGAAGAGGGCACCACGCTGGAGGATCTTTACCGGAATATATCGAAAAGATGGAATAAAGTGAGTATTGAGGCGGTAAAACTCCAATATATTGCACCTATTCAGAAAAGCTACGTGACATTATTGTGTGACGATGATGTCGCCAATATGTGGAGAATGCATATCTTGTTAAAGGTAATGTTTGTGGATATGATTGCACGGTGCAGAAGCGAGCACCAGAGCGTGCCTCTCCGAAGCACGGTTGGACGCAGGTACGTTACTCATCATTTGTAATTAAGTAGTCTTTATTAAACTTTGTTATAGAATGCAGTCACAATTGTTCCTTATGAAAGAATGCAGTCTGTAAGCACTTATAATGCAGTATGTAAGAATGCAGTCTGTAAGCGCTTATAATGTCATGTTCAACACATGTAAAAACATATTGTTTATAGGTTACGTTAGTAATAATTCTTTCATGATATTGGCATACAACAATACCGTGGTATATTGTTGCGATGTTGTTTGTAGGTAGTAAGTATCCACCTCCGCGATTTTGTAGTAGCGCGGTGCAGAACGAACCACTGAAGAGATTGTAAAGATATGTAGTGGGGCTATAACGTCTTGAAGGTATTTAACGATTTTCACTCCTTCTTCACACGCCACTGTCAATATCCTCTAGCAATCCGGTTTAGGTAGGTGTACCATGATCGATGCGTTGAAATTTCTGTAGCCCATGGCATTTACTGCATCACGTAGCCTGCTGCGGTGAATAGATGCAGTTGTTCTTTTAAATACCCTGGATGACACGGTAGGTAACCATAGACACCGTGGACATACTCGGTTGAGTAAGATGGGTACCCATGTTTTTCCATTTACTCTGAAAATATCTATTACCATATAAAATTAGAACTACTTACATCTGATATAATTTTCATTCTTATTATTGTATTTGTAATGTAGGGGCGAGGCCGAATGTTCTGGATTGAACGAAGATTGCGCCGATGGTATCTTTATTCCCGACGAAAGTACTAGTCTAATTGCAATGCAGAGATGCATTGTCGGGGAAGGGCAGACATTCAAGGGACCGCAGGAGTTTAGAAAGTTACTGAAGAATTATTCTA